AAACGATTTCGTTCCACAGTTGATATGAAAGTGATCTTTAAAAGGAGATGATGTTAAATCCTGTGTATAACTGATTAACCATCCAGCTTCAGAGTTTTGCTGTGCGTATGACGACTCCTAACGTTGGAGTATGGGTATCATATTATACACGTCGCTGGCATAAAGCACACAGCCCTGTTTCACCCCATATTTCCAGCTTGGTTTCGTTTTGGCATCTTTACAAAAGACTCCAGGCCAATAAATGACATGCCAGATTTAATGTAGCTATACATTTAAGATGATCCCGGTATTATTCCAGTTCTACCACACACGCAGTCTGGGCTACATGCAGGCAACCACCACAGATGTGCAGCAACACACGGCGGGAGCGGAGAGAAGCCGCTCCAAGGTGTGGTTACCATGCTTACCCGCTCTTGAGGAAGGGGTTGAACATAGCTCCCGTTGCCAAATAGTATTTAAGCATGTAAGGGGCGGCTAACACGAGCAATTTGGTCTAAACAATTTAGCAAAAGGTGCACCACATCTCAGACGGAGGAATGCCACCGGGTCTCGACATGGTCCTTTCTACTAGCTCTGATAGCCCGGTCCACGAATAACGTTTCCACGTCAGCAACACACGCAGTTAACAAAATTATACAAACATGGGTTAATGATTAGAGTTAACTGAGTTATTTATTTTGTTACATTTTCAGTCATTCTGTTTACAATTCTGTTATCACATTATTTAATACGATTTGTTAAAATATTTTTGTTTCTTTTGATGTGAACAAAAAAAGATTTGTTAATTTTGTTCACAATTTGTTTAGTTAATTTAATAATATATGTATTTTTGAATCAAGTATTCATCTTTTTTTGTCTTCATTGTTAGTTTCCACATGCCTAAACAACCTCAAGCTAAATCTAAAAGTTGATGGCTAAATAAGAGCGTTTGAGAAATTGTGCAAGGCATAATAGTCCGAATAGTCGATTAATCGTTTCATTAATCGATAGATTCATCGATTATCAAATTAGTCGTTTGTTGCAGCCCTAAACACCAATATAAAAGGCTTGTGCTAGCTCTCCTAGCATCCCTGTGTTACAGCTAAGCAGAAGAGGACGCCCATTATGTTTACACCGTGAGCTGAACATAAGCCTCTCTTCCATGATGATATGCATTCCTCTGCTCGATGATACGGTTGGCTGGTGTAGTTCCAGAGAAAGAAAATGGTTCCTTGATTAAACTGTTAAAATAATGTCCTGATTAACTAGGTCATGATTTCTGGAAAGGGACATTGTTGTTGAGTTTTTCAAATGTATTTTCTGGCCTTCTGATCATCACGAGCAAGGTTCCGTCAAGTCTTTACAGCAGATACGTCCAACACTCCAAAACTTGCACCAAAACAATTTAGTTGGATAACAAATATGTATTTTGATTTTGGTTCGAACTGTATCTTTAACTGGTAAACTACTACTAAGTAATATATTGTATTTGTAATTATTAAAAATCACATAAGGGAAGAATAAAGAGTCCCGTGTGACACGTAGTCTAAACTTCTGTCCCCAGCATCACCCCTTCCTCATCGTGCGGCCCCTTCCGAGAGCTCAAAACGATGTTCCAGGCGGGGAAGCGGTGGGTGGAGGAATTGGAAAAAGATAATCCCAACCTGTCGGTGCTGGCCCGAGCTCACTCCTACCTGGTGGAAAACCCTTTCTTCCTGTTTGTGGGAGCAGGCATCTTCCTGTGAGTACAAACAGACACTGGTGCAGTCAACAGGAGTCAGCCTGTTGTGTATTTGTTGTTGCTTTATTATTGATCAGTGTTGTATTGATCCAATGCATTCTGTGGTTTCCCTCCATCAGGATCGTGATCTACTTCCACAGTCAGGTGGTGGACGGTCAGAGGAAGATCATCGGCCTACTGCAGGAGCAGATAGAAAATGTGAGACATCCGCTGCACATATACAGATGTGTTCTCTATTTCTCATTATAAAGAAACATTTATTTAAGTTAAATGTTTTCCTGATTTTATTTGCTTGTTTTTCAGGAAGGAGATGATAAGAAGTTTCTGATCACTCGCCTCCAGACAATCCACGAGCAAAAACGAACCCCCGCTCGACGACTCGTCAGTCAGGTCTGTTTGCTGCTCTGGTGCTTTACAACAGCTGTTTTGGTATGAATTTAAAGGTCACCTATTGTGCAACATCCGCTTCTTCATGTCTTTTATACATCAACATGTGTCCCCTCTGTGTAAAGAGATTCTGAACGTTTCAGGAACAAAGACCCCTCTCTTTTTGTCCTGATCTATTTATATAAAAACCTGTCTGAAAATGAGCTGATCAGATTTTAGCCACTTTGTGATGTCACAATGTTTTTTTGGGTTGTGCAACCATTAGCCAATAACCAACCAAGGTAACCCCCCCCCCACCTTATCACCTGAATCTCCTCCTAGAGCACTAATCATCTCTCAGAGGGGCGTGGCAAGCAGCAGCAGCTCATTAGCATTTAAAGCTACAGACACAGAATCAGTACTTTTGGAACAGGGCTGAAAGAGAGGGGATTATTGCTACAATGATCTGTTTGGTGTTTCAGCCAAACACTTCAGAGACATGTTCTGTATATATCTGAGGCCTGTAATACATTGTTAAAAAATGTATTTTAAAGTATAATAGGGGACCTTTAAAACAATCTATGCAACTTGGCCTCCGCGTATCTCCTAATTGTTTTTCTATATTTTTTCCCTCTAGAACTCAAACTGTTGAGAGCCCATCCTCCAGCAGACAAGCCTCCTCAATTCTCTGAGCACTGAGGTCTGCAGAAATGGATTGAACTGGAATAATAACAGGGACATTTAAATGTATAGTACATTTAAAATCTGGCCAGTCATTTATGGCTGGAGCTTTTGTAAAGATGCAAAACAAACCAAGTGGAAATATGGGGTGAAACAGAGCTGTGTGCTTTATGCAGCGACGTGTATAAATGATACCCATACTCCAACGTTAGGAAGTCGTCAGACGCACAGCAAAACTCTGAAGCTGATGTTAATCAGTTTACACAGATTTTAAATCATCTCCTTTAAAAGCACTTTCATATCAACTGTGAACAAATCGTTTTTATTATTATATCTTGTGCAAACTTGGTATATATATTTTTTTTATGCTTTTATTTTTTTAAATGTTTAACAGTGTGTATTTTGTACAGTAGGTAAACTTTGGATGTTGTGGGTGTGAGTATGATAATACCGAAAATGACTTAGCTGCAAATGCCCTTGTTCTGTAATTCTGTGGTAATTAAATTATGTTTTAACCTACCCAGATGTTTTGTTTTTATTAGTGCTCACATAAGGCATGGGCTATGGTGGCTGACGGGTGCAAACACACTACAACCACAAAACGTAGAGAACAAACGCTGTACTCCCCGGGTCCTGGTCCCAGCTGTGTGCATCCCTTTTAAGTGTCCTCTGGGTTCGGTTGTGTTTGCTTCTTGCAGCGTTTCGTTTATGTAGCACTTTTTTTTAAACGCTGGGCAAGTTTCTTAATGTTGGTGAAGATATTTCTTTATTCGCACGTGTTTTGGCACATTTGTGTTTTTATATTTGCATCGTTTCTGAAACTGCAGGGCTTAAACACTGGAAGTTTGTTTGCTTATTATTATGCATTTGCACCTCTCCGCCACCATAATGTTCAGCACTACTACAGCAAAGCAGAAAAAACTCAACAGTCTTACAAATAATACAGATACATTTTTACTATTTTAGCATATTTAGTACTTACAGTTAATAGTAGAATGTAGAGAGACATTGTTACAGTAGAACTGTTACTCAAGACATGTAAAATATATTTTCAGTATAAAAATATGTTTTTTTTCCACTCGAGTACCCTTAAAAACAAACTAATAACCTTTATCTTTGTAACTTTATTAGTAAATATTACCCATTAACTCATTATTTCTCCAAAATTAGAAAAAGCAGCATAATTGGTGGAGGGTAGAGAGTTCTGCAGCACCATAGAATGTGACAGAAGAGAAGTCCTCACAGAAAAACCCTGGAGGTGTTTTCAATACTTCCTGTCAAAGCTATTGTAGACCTCTGCCATGACAGTCTATACATATACATATTTACTGTATATACATTAACACATGCACACTGTACCCACCTCTGTATACACCTCACAATTATAGCATGTCTACAGTATATATCTGCTAAACAAGTGACCCCATATGGTTTGTTTAAACAGCGCATGTGCGCACTTGAGTCAGTTTTTCAAATGTTGGGTGTTGTTTGTGGAAGACAAAGTTTGAAAGTATTGACAGTTTTCTCATTAGAGTTTTATATCCGTTGTCTCCCCCTGATGTTCGGCACCATCTCATTCCTGCCTCAGCTCCCGTTATTGAGCATGCCCAGTAGCTTCCTGGCGTCCATGCCCTGCTGCTGCGCCATCTTCTGCACGTCGAAGCCCATGTGCTTCAGGAACTGGATCACGCTCATCTCCTGTCCCGTCAGCTGGTCTCGTACAGTCGGGCAGGTGGGATTACAGTGAGGCCACGGGCAGCTGTCAATCAAATGGAGAGGGCAGCCCCTGGTATGTGGGGTCTTAGGCTTCTGGTTGTGGTTGGTGCTGTTGGTGTGGTTGTTGGGCTGGAGGCTGCGGTCCCAGCAGTGCAGCGCTCTGGGCAGGGAGGTGCCCTTCACATGAATGTCCATCCAGTAGCTGCAGGGACAGAGAGACATAGTGAATAGATACAATATGCAGGATTGTATATGTATGTTTACTTGCATACAGTATACAGTACAGATTGAATTTGTGCATTGTCATGATTCAATTCATTCATATCAAATGTAATACCAAATAGAACAGTGGTTCCCATCCTGGGGGGTGCTATCGCAGGGGG